TAGTCCTTATACTACTAAATTATAAGTCGGACACTATTTGAAAAGGATAAGTTCTTTACAATATGGCAACACCGCTTAGAGGCGAGATCGCCTGTTCATTCATTTATTACCTTGTAGTACGTGTCGCACGTGTGCGGTAAAGCTTTGTTGCCGCTATCTCCCCGGTTGTATTAACGCATTTTCTTAGCTTGTAGTCCTTAAGTGTTTATTTTATTTACTTTTTCTGTTCAAGAACTATAAAATATGGTTCGCCAGTGCCAAATTTGCAAGAAATTTGACTTAAATAATCCATTTAAGTCTTGAAACGACTTTCGACCGGTAGGCAACTCTCAATTTACCCATTGGGAGTCAGTGGCGTTGTTCTAGAAAGGCGCTTATTTAGATAATATTTTAGTAAAATGTAAAATCTGACTTTTTTCTCTTACATAATCATTTATATAAAGGTTTTTGTAACAAAATCATAATTATAACCTTGTTAATAATTAATAATGTTTTTATTAAAAATATATTACGGTTTATTTTAAAATTATCTTCAGAATCTAAAATAACGTACAAGAATTTTAAAATGATATTATATTATGAAACAATATTTTTTAATATACCGGGTCGTCCCCTATAACTTTTTTATTTTTTCAGATAAAAAAACAGATTTGTATGTTAGTAGGTATATGACATAAATTAGGATTTATTGACGTATTCAATTGTTTTTGGTCTCTTCCTGTTTCACCGAAATGATTACATCTTTTGATTTTTAAAGGCACCCTCGGTATATTGCTACTTTATTCAATAAAAAATGACATTCTGAATAGAATGACATATCATATGTCAACTTTTGACATTGTCGCTTAAAAACAAATCGTATTTTAAATGTCAATCCAGGGTGCCATGGTGTTGTTAAAAACACTAAGTTTTAATCAAGGAGCCTTGGAAAAATAGTTTTGATCGTCTAATAGGTTTCGTGTCTTGTCTAGGCAGGTTAAAAGATGTACAAATCGTTTTTTTAATCATACATATGTCATTTTTTTCAAATGGAACAAGGGTGACTCATTAGCATATTTGGAAAAAGCATTTTCATATGAATATATTGATACCACACACTTGGTATTTCGAGCCAAATTGTCGTTATGAACCGCGTGTTACAATTACAATTAAACCATATGCGAAAATGTCAAAAGTTGACATATGATATGTCATTCTATTCAGAGTGTCATTTTCTATCGAATAAAGTAGAAATATACCGAGGGTGCCGTTTAAAAATTAAAAGTTATAGTCATTTCCGGTGACACAGGAAGTGACCAAAAACAATTGAATGCGTCAATCAATCCTAATTTATTTCATATACTAACATACTAAATCTTGTTTTTTTATTTGAAAATATAAAAAAATTATGGGGATGAGCCACTTTTGAGCCGCACCCGGTATAATAAAGACAGTACCGAGTTAAATAAATGTAGTTTTTATTTTATCCACTTCCTATCACCTTCCTTGCTTTAATGGAACAGATTTATGTTTTCTCTAATTTACATAATAAGACATCACTTAACTAGAAAAAAAATTACAACAATCATTTTTTTTTCTCTCCCTGTCGCCGATTCTATTATATCTGTGGAATAGATCCGGTTTTGATTAATATTAGGGGTTGTAAATGTTTGACTAAAATTAATAATTTATTATTAATTTCAAAAATTACGTAATTTCGATTATAAAATTTCTTCTATAACGTGTATTTTATTATGTTTATCCTTTTCGGACTCTAAGACGTTTTTTCTAAACTTTTATGTAAAAAACCTGTCCTAAATCTTAATAAAATATAAAAACGTTTAAATACGATATATTTTTAATTTACTTATAGCTTCATTAAAATAAAAAAATTACCCGGCTATGATACGGAGAGTTCAGGTGTACTTGAGAAACGAAAGAAGTGTTGTGTTTATCGGCAGAGTCGTCAGGGAACGACCGTTACGACAGAGACAACCTATCTATCGCTCGTGTCGCACTCGTTATAACCTAAAACAATAACACAACAATAACAAGATATTGTCTGACCGCATGTTCCAGCTATTTATGAATGAGATGCTCAGTCTATATTTTATTTTAAGTCTATGGTTAAAACCAAAAGAATTCTCAGAAATTTGCCGAAAATGGAAACTTATGAACTGGACTGCAGTGTGCATTCACCAATTAATAGAATACTTAAATGCTCTGGATTTATTTAGTCTTGACTGTTTTTTTATCGGGATATGCTAAACCTAATGTTTTCAAAACCCTACATTAACAAAACTATTGTCGACAACATGAAAGAAATGATTGTGGCTGTTTGTCGAAATAGAACTTCACTGTGCCTCTTAACATGAAAAGATCTTTTGAAAAGAGTATTATTTTATGCAGCGAACAGGAATGGAAGAATTTTGAGCATTTGATTTTATCCAGCTAATTTTTGTTACAAAATAATTATACCTTTATATCTAGTTTCAATTCTGTAATAATCAAAATATATTTTCAACGTGTATCTTTTTATTACCGTTGAATATTTTGCTCTACATACATTATTTTTTTTTAAATTAACAAAAGGGTATCACAGTTATCAAAAGTTGCAACATCATAATGAAGATACCTAGGAAAATCATTGTTTAAAAGCTAGGCAACCTTAATAGTATTTTTAAGATATATGAATTCTCCATTGAGTATTGGAAATAATATACCGGGTATTTTATTTAAAATATAGGAGTAAATTGCTTTTAAATGTGACTAGTGTTCAATATTAATTTTCTCTAACCCTGTATAACTTTTCGGCTCAAATTTTAATTTCATTTAAAGTACAATAGTAATTTTATCTACATAATACGATATAACGGATAAATTATAATTTAGGTAGCATTTATTAAATTTTTAAATTTGTTCTTCATTTTTAAAAATTGTTAAATGCAGGGTTGTTCACCACATACGACACGGAGTATTGTAGCTAAACGATGAGATTTTTACAAATTGTAAGTTTGGGGTTCGTTGAAGGACTATTAGAGCTACAATTTAAAAATATTTTTACAAGATACAGAGTGTCCCAAATAAAAAATATCAAAGTTGTATTTTTTTAAATGGAACACCCTGTATATTATTACATTTTTAGTTTCTACGATTAAAATAAAGGTAAATTTGATTAAGGTTTATTATACTTAAACCTTACCGTTTTTGAAATACTTTCAATTTTGTGAAATTGCAGTAAAAATTTTAAAGCTTCATTTCTCCAAGGGTATCAATGTTTTTGATATTAAATATTTAATGAAGTTTATTTATTGATCAGTTATTGTGTTGCAATAATAAAAATTATACTACCTTATACAGAGTGTCTAAAAATTTATTTTAAATAATTATTAGCTTCAAACGGCAATAACTTCTTTAATTTAAATGGAATGCCCTGTATATTTTAGGAGAATCAGATGCACAATTAAATTGTCTATCAAATTGTATTATACCATTTTTTACCTATCCCTTCAAGTTTTCGTAGAAAATGCATTTTCTTATAATTTAGACCTCATTTATCAATATATCCATGGAATATTGACATTTTAGATTGTTTTTAAAGCAACAAATGTACAAAATGTACCGACTAGTAATATTATCGTTTTTAGCAAAACGATAATATTACTAGCCTATTTGTATGCAAAAAAAGAAAACTATTTAAATCTTTATAAAAGAGTATCACATTAATTAAATATAACACCATTATTTCCGCCCATATACTAATTAATTACATACTTAATTGTGTTCATTAATAAATTATTATAAATAAATGTGGATTTGAGTCAGAAATCAATATAATAATAAGTTATCAAATTAAAGTCTCTGTTGTTATAAATAAGCATTTATTAAAAAATGAAATATCATTTTTAAGGTGTTACTTTTTATCACACTGTCTAATGCCCATACAAAATTCAGTTTTTTAGTATTTGGAGCAATTATTATTAATCAATGCAAACAGTCAGTTAATGTAGTTTGAATACTGGATCATATTAATTGGTCCTCTTTAACAAATATTTGAACAGTTTTTTTTTATTTTTTAATGAAATAAACGAATTATATCGACAATATTAGTATCTGTACTCTTTAAAAATTTGATACATCTTTAAAAATAATCTAAAATGTCAATAGTCCATGGATATATTGATAAATAAGTTCTAAATTACAAGAAAATAAATTTTCTACGGAAACTTAAAGAGATAGGTAAAAATGGTATAATATAATTTGATAGACAATTAAATTGTGCATCTGATTCTCGTAAAATATACAGGGTGTTCCATTTAAATTAAACAAGTTATTGCCGTTTGAAGCTAATAATTATTTAAAATAAATTTTTAGACACTCTGTATAAGGTAGTATTATTTTTATTATTGCAACACAATAACTGATCAATAAATAAACTACAGTAAATATTTAGTATTAAAAACTTTGATACCCTTGGAGAAATGAAGCCTTAAAATTTTTACTGCAATTTCACAAAATTGAAAATATTTCAAAAACGGGAAGGTTTAAGTATAATAAATCGTAATCAAATTTACCTTTATTTTAATCGTAGAAACTAAAAATGTAATAATATACAGGGTGTTCCATTTAAAAAAATACAACTTTGATATTTTTTACTTATTTGGGACACTCTGTATCTTGTAAAATTATTTTTAAATTGTACCTCTAATAGTCCTTCATCGAACCCAAAACTTACAATTTGTAAAAATCTCATCGTTTAGCTACAATACTCCGTGTCGTATGTGGTAAACAACCCTGTATATCAAAAACCTTACGTTTTAGCCATATACTTCTCTAATGAAAATCACCTTTATTTTTCTCCTAGAATCCGAAATGCTCTAAAATAACCTACATACGCTCACAAAATTTAATTTCAATACAAGCTGTAGCTCTCCTTGGAGCGTCTCTCCTCCGCGTCGTATATGAGACGCCACCCTGTAGAATCCAATGAAACATTATTTATTAATTCTGTATTGTCTTAGAAGATCAAAAGACCACTCGAAGACGCCGACGATTCTTCCCCCAGGAGGTGCTGGACCAATCTCCTCGGCCTCCCGCTTCAACCACTTCAGGTGATACTCCAACGACTGCCTCGCCCCTAACTCCATCTCCCAATCTGCCTTCACCAGCTCGGTTCACTGCCTTGTCTTCGCCGACCGCTGCGTTCTCATCTGCCACCGTCACTCCAACTTCTCCACTAACAACTCCAAGACTAACTACTCCTAGGTAAGTTCGGTTTTTATAATATGGTTCAAATTATACTTTTTAAGGAATTCGTTTCTTCATTAAGAGTCCATTTCAATAGTCCGAAAAAGTAGCAAAATAAGCGTTCGGCATTTAACGTTTTATGTAAAACTGACTAGGTATTTTTACGCAAACGAAGAAGGAAATTAAAGATAAAGGATTATACTATATCCGCACATTTTTAGATAACTTGTTTATTTTTATGATTTTGTTGGTCAAACATCAACAAAATATTGTTTGGACTAAAGTTTCTCGAAAATCAAGACATCATTTAAAATTCCGTTACAATATGCAAATAGATTGAAGTTTTGTAACTACAGTGATATATAATTAACTGTAATTACAGTGATATATAATTCACATGGTTTTGTAACAAATTGCTCGCTATTTTATGGCAAATGCTGAAGCTCTGCAAACCTTAATCAAGCCTTAATCCAAGCACGTGTGTTTGGAATATTGGATGTGGCTTAACACGACAGGATCGGGCTAAACCTTAGGCAGATTTCTGAAATCACGGTCACACACCCGCTTTACGCGACCCCTGTGAGCGACCCGAACAGCACAGCTTAATAGAGTCTTAAATTTAAAGCATTAAAGCATCGAATAAAAGTTAAATTAGTTAATAATAACAGTCCATTAACACTCCGGATGTTAAGTGCTTGAACTATCTGGTATTTATCTTTTTATTTTTCTATAATATCTTTATACATTATAGCCTATATGTTATTTCGATGTATAAGCTATATTATTTTAAAGCTTCATTAAAATCCATTCAGTAGTTTTTGCGTGAAAAAGTAACAGAAATGTATACATCCATGCATACATCCAAACAAACTTTTCCGTTTATAATATTAGTAAGGATTATACAGTCTGTTGCACCGCCGACCTGGAAATCCCAAGTAAATTTTAAAAGTAATGAATAAGTTTTCCCCATTTTATTCTCCAGAAAAGTATATTTAAAACTTTTTAAAAAAACTCCTTAAAATGAAGCAAATTGTTCATTTTGAATAATTTATACAAATTCGTTCTTGAGTTATGACCGATACAAAAATACTAAATTAATCAAAAAAATAATACGGTTAGAATAACAAACATGCCACCTTCAAATTCAGTCTTTTAATGTCAAATTGACTTTTTTGTTCCCAAAAATAATTTTAAAAGAAATCATTTTTTTAATGTCCTATTGACTAACTATAATTGGTAACTGGTAAATGTGAATAACAGATCTAAATAAAAAAAATAGTTTAGTTGTATCACAGATTAGGTATCCTATAAGTATACAGATAAAAATCTTGTCCCTAATTCGTGGTACGAAAATTGTTTTTTATGACGATGTGCAAACGAGTCAAATTTCCTGTGCGCAAAAATAAATTCGCGTAAAATAACAATAAACAGCGTAATAGAGAGATATCGCTAAACCGAATAGCGTGCATGGACGTTAATAAGGCCAGGTGTTATTTCCTTTATGTGAGGTGGTATTAACTCTCTTCATTTATAGTTATCGGATCGGAAAGAATTCTGATCGCGTCGCGTCCGCTATTTAAACTTAACCTAACTTTGAAATTGTTTTTTTTACTAGGTATTTTAAAACTAAAGGGCTAAAGTGCTTATTTCCAGTGCTTTATTGTTCAACGTCTGCCAGTGGGTTTAGGGCAACAAGTAACAAATTCTCTTAGAAGGGCCAAGTCGTCATCTGCTGTAAACCTAAGACTCTTTATAGGTTCTTTAGTATTAGAACAGGTGGAATCCATATTTTGGGCCATATTTATTTAATTAAAACTAATCCCAGCTACTTAAATATCAAATTACCTAATAAAACTAAAACAATAATTCAAAACAATTCAAACATAACCTAAAATAAAAGATCTCGCCGGCCGGCTCCGGTTGTCAAATACCCGCACATGCCCATTTAAGCAATTTTGAAACGTTATCAGAGGTTATTTAGAAAGAGCGCTTGGTGTAATTGATCCGCAAATTACGTCAGGCGGTAACGTTATTAGCGGGTGTTGCGTTAAAAATTGACTCGCGCATATCGTAACCATGATAAGGTACGCGTAAACAGAGGCGTAAATACTGGATGACGCTATTCGGTTTTCCGATATCTCTCTAATAACTGTGCCGGTCAGGCGCTGTGCACAATTTTAGAGGCCATAAGTGGGCGTGCTATGTGCGCAAACTAGTCACCTAACTAGTGCCCGATTCCGAAAATTGGAACCACGAAAAACAATAAAGAAAAAACAAAGATTATAATCTGTATAATCTGTGGTTGTATTATGGAGGAAAAAGTATACACAAGCTGTAAAGCATTTATTTTCTGTACATTTTCCAAATATCCCAGACCATTTATTCAAGAATATAAACGTAAGAGAAGAATTCCTACACGAACAGTTATTCTTACAGTGCCATACTCTATAGGCTTGGTGCATTCTCCGCCAGTGCTGCCACCATCGGAGAATATCGTAATTAACTAGTAGGTATATACAAATACACTGCTTTAAATAGCGAATATACGAAAAATTAAAATTTATTATTTACTTAATTATTCTAAAAGTGTTAGGAAGTAGAATTTGTGAAAATTCTAAAAATAAGAATAAAAAAGTAAATATTTTGGTATCTTCAAAAAAGGTCTATATAACTTGTATTATAATTTATTATTCCAGTTAAAAAAACTTTTTAGATGAGTTCAACTACGGTAGCGAGCATAGTTTTAATCACCGGTTTTGCTAGTGGGGCATTGGGACTATTTAGGCTATAACGAATTTTTTTAAAGGTACATAATTATAATTTTAGAAGATGTTCATAAAACATTTAATCGCTAGTTGATTAAAAAAAGTATACAATTAATATTGCAAATTATATATTATCCTCTCATAGTTTATGTCTATTTAATTTTTTGATTACGTAACGAGCACGCTGTTCACTCACTTATTTCGTCGAACTGCTTAAATCCATTTTTGTTCTTGATCAAATCTGTGTAAGAAACTGTGTATGAAGCTATAAAATGTTGTTTCGGGAGAGTTGAATATCCGGGAAAGGTGAGTTATATGTTGCACCAACAGCGCCTTAATTACGCTTTCCTTTACCCGTTAACATTTTTTCGGCAGTTTTATTCACATTTGATATTGTCACAACACTGTTCGAATTCTTTTTCACTTATTTTTTACTACCCGAAACAGCGTTACATCACACAAACCTCCTACCTGAATGTTTTCTAGTCTCAATTACTGCACTAGCAAAAACTATAATACTTAAATATTATGACAAAGCCACGATTTCAGTATTATTTTAATACGATCAACATGAACTGTAACCGGGATGGCGTGTAATACACAGCGAACATTTCTGATTTCTGCCGTATAAAGCGTTGTAGTCGGAATTTTTTGAAATCAACTAAAATGCACCAAGCTTATAATGAGGCAAGTTCAAGGTAATTGGGCATATACAGGGTGTTTCAAATAACATGTGTCTTCTATCGTGGGGAGATTCCACAGGTAAAAATAATTTTTAAAAATTTATTTTTCATATCAACCTAGGTACGATTTTGCTTTGTTTCGTAGCTACCGGTAATAATCTGTTGACGTACTTTTAGTGATTCGAATGTAATTTTGAGAACCGAAAAAATATACTGGGTGTTTCATTTAAAATAAAGGAGTAACTTGCTTTTAAATGTGACTAATGTTCCATATTAATTTTGTGTCACCCTGTATAACTTTTCGGGTCAAATTTCAATTTGGTTTAACATACAATGGTTACTGTAATTAAATCTCAGGCTATACAAGGTCAACTAAAATTTAGGTAGCTGTTATCGAAACTTAAAATTTACTTTTCATTTTCACAAAATGGGAAATATGTCAAAATCCTTCGATTTTAGGTATATGTTTCTTTAATAAAACTCACCTTTATTTTTTTCCTAGAATCCGAAAATGAATTAATATATTGGGTGTTCCATTAGAAAAAACACAACTTTGATGTATAACTTTTTTTGGGGACACCCTGTATAATTCTATATATTTTTTAAAAATGCTTCCAGTTAACTTACATATGCTGCCAAAATTTCATTTCGGTATAAACTACCGTTCTCCTTGGAGCTTCCGCGGCGTATGAGAGGCGCCACCTTGTACAGGGTGGGTCAAATTCGACGCTTTTAAATGGAAACACCCTTTTCTATAGGAGATAGAGAAAAACTAATATCGGTGTCTGGAGCTCAATTTTCATCAAAAAGATGATGGTGAAAACTGCATATCAATATCTGTTACCGTTTCGGAGTTACGGGGTGTTTTTCAAAAATTTGCATTTTTAACAAATCGCTGTAACTTTTTTACTATGGAAAATTTTGTATTTCTATGAAAACATTTCCAAAGCACCTTTTTACGTAGAATTTAATGGTTTAAGTATAATTTTTTTAAAATTAATAATTTAAGAGTTATCAACAGAAAAATAGTTTTTATATTTGGGACACCCTCTATATTTTTAATTAACTAAAAAGAATTTAAAATTACCTTTCCAAAAATATAGCACACTTGATATTTTGTTATAATCCCCTTAGAAATACAGAAATTTTAAAAGTTCGCCACTTTTAACTAGTAGGCTTTGGACCCCTTATTGATGATATTCCCTTAATGGAACTCGAAAACATATTTTTCCAGCAAGATGACGTACCGCCTATGAACGCTAAAGTTATCAGCAAATTTTTGCAGCCAGTTTCAAGAATAATTGAATAGCTAACCAAGATCCCAGCCGTTGGCCGTCGAGGCCGCCTGACTTAGTGCCCATGGATCTAATCCTATGGATATATTTGCGGAAGAATAAACGTTCCTTATTCTTCCGTATAAACTAGACAAGAATTAGAAATACTTAGCAACTATGAGAGGGTATCTTTCACCCCTACTGAGTTAATGAATTCCGCGAGAAACTGCCCCATCTGTCCATAACAGAAGACGGTCGATATGTCGAACACCTGTAGAAAAATCTCCTGTCTTAGTTATTAGATATAGTTTAAATGTGTTGATGTTGGTTAAATATATTTTAAATTGTTATAAAATTTTGCATCTCTCATAGCAAATATTATTTTCGTTTTAACTGATGCTCACAGCTAGAATTTTTTTGCATTACAGACGGTGCCGTTCAAAGCCTACTTAATTAAAGCGGGCGAATTTTTATATACTCGATATCTCGAAGGGGAACCGAGCAAAATATCAAGTGTGTTATATTTTTGGAAAGGTAATTTAAAATTCTTTTCAATAAATTAAAAATATACAGGGTGTCCCATATAAAAAATCAAATTTTCTGTTAATAATTCTTAAATTATTAATTTTTAAAAAATTATACTTAAACCATTAAATTCTACGTAAAAAGGTGCTTTGGAAATGTTTTTGTAAAAATACAAAATTTTCCATAGCAAAAAATTACAGCGAAACGGAACTCCGAAACGGTAACAGATATCGATATGCGGTTTTCACCATCACGTTTTTAACAAAAATTGAGCTCCAGACACCGATATTAGTTTTTGTCTATCTCCTATAGAAAAGGGTGTTTCCATTTAAAAGCGTCAAATTTGACCCACCCTGTACATAATTACGTTTTATAAATTCATCATTCATTTCCTTTAATGTAATAACTTAATATTGAAAAATTTGGCACTTACACCCTTTGGTATTTCCACTCTTCAATTAATAAATAAAAATACATATAAATAAAATTAAAAAAATATATATTTCACCTAATTTATTATTAAATATGATTACCTCACCTCACCTCAGTTATTATAACTATTAGTCCAACCTAGAGCAATTTCAAATAAAAAAATAACGGTATTTAAAATAATTACAAAAAAAACAATTTTAAAAAATTTTAACATCTTGTAACTCGAAGACCATGCATTTCCATACCCATGTTTATGGAACTTTTCTTCATATTTTTTGATGAGGAATCAAATTATTATATTAAATTTTTTTAAAAGGTTGCTATTAGATTTGGATCGAGGCAAATTAATAAAATTGCATTTATCTCATCAAGTAGGCCGAAATGGACAAAATATCAAGAGAAAACTTTTAATCGGCTTTAAATTGCTTAACTATTTCGGTAACGAGAAAAACAGTCAGTGGCGTACATGATAACCCATATACACGTCACTGGTGAATATGTCGACACGTTTTTAGCTTTAAAATATGTCTCATTTATACTAACTTTTACCCTGAAAATTTCATTCGAAACGTTAAAAGTACTTGGAAGAAAATTATAATAAATCGAAAAATATTTGATAATTAATAATGACTTTAGTAGTCTGTAGCTACGAAACAAAGCAGAATCGGACCTATGTTAATAATAATTTTTACTTGGATGGCATATGTTTTTTGAAACACCCTGTAGAAATTAATTTATGAAAATTAATTTAAGAAACTCTCCGTTACAGACGTTCGGACTTGTCAGTCCACATGGAAAATGCCAGACGGGCCGTCACCTCCCCTTCCACACCCGATACGCACAAATACAAACCTTTCGCCGCGAGGAAGGCCCAAATGGCGTCCGTGTCCAAGGACAAGTCGTCGCCCGTTTCCTCTCTTGCCAGAACCAGTTCAGCCAAGCAATCCGCTTCGCATTCCGATAACGAAACCAACAAGAACATAGCCAAGAGAATGGAGGAACTGAGAGCTTTCACGAGGGAGACTTTGGCTAGGGTGGAGAGACTGGCCAATAGGACCAAGGAGATTCCCGCTAATGCCACGAAGAGGCAGAGTCCAGCTAGACAGGTAAGAGAGTTATGTCAAAGAAGAGGTTTTTTAATGCACGATTATAAAGGGCAACGGCCCAGCTACGTCGAGGCATCGATTCCGGGTAGATCACCGAAGTTAAGCGATTGTAGACAATGGGCGGATGGACGGGTGACTGTCTGGAAACTCTGCCGTGTTGTTGTTCCATGGCAAGTTCCGTGTCGTCACAAAAAAGACATACGCTGCTCATTCACGCGGATTCGAGGCCGGATCAGATCGGATATCTCGTGAGTAAGCCTCGTAAGTAAAAAATGTTATTTACGCGTAAAACATAGTTTTCACGAGTAACAAATAGTTTTATACACGTAAAAATAGTAAGCGTAAAAATAGTTTTTTACGTGTAACATTTTTATTCGCGTATTGTTTTTTTACGTTTACCTAATAGTTTTTTACACGTAATAATTTGATTCACTTTTACAAAATTTGTATAAAATATCAATATTTTTGATGAACTCCTGGACTGCTCATATACAGGGTTGTTCATCACATACGACACGGAGTATTGTAGCTGAACGATTAGATTTTTACAAATTGTAAGTTTTGGGTTCGTTGAAGGACTATTAGAGCTACAATTTAAAAATATTTTTACAAGATACAGAGTGTCCCAAATAAATAAAAAATATCAAAGTTGTATTTTTTTAAACGGAACACCATGTATATTATTACATTTTTAGTTTCTAAACCTGACCGTTTTTGAAATATTTTCAATTTTGTGAAATTGTAGTAAAAATTTTAAGGCTTCATTTCTCCAAGGGTATCAAAGTTTTTAATACTCTTTTCTGTAAAAATTTATGTCTAAAAATTTATTTTAAATAATTTCTAGCTTTAAACAGCAATAACTTGTTTAAATTTAAATGGAACACCCTATATATTTTAGGAGAATCAGATGCACAATTTAATTGTCCATCAAATTGTATTATACTATTTTTACCTATCCTTTCAAGTTTTTGTAGAAAATGCTTTTTCTTATAATTTAGACCTCATTTATCAATATACCCATGGAATATTGACATTTTAGGTTGTTTTTAAAGCAACAAATGTACAGGTGCTAAAAACGATAATATTACCAGCCTATTTGTATACAAAAATAAAACTATTTAAATATTTATAAAAGAGTGTACCATAATTAAGAATACCACCATTATTTCCGCCCAAATACTAATTAATTACATATTTAACTGTGTTAGTTAATAAATTATTCTAAATAAATGTGGATTTGGGATCAGATATCAATATAATAATAAGTTATGAAAATGAACGTCTCTGTTGTTATAAATCAGCATCCGTCAAAAAATGAAATAACATTTTTAAGGTGTTATTTTTACCACACTGTCTAATACACATACAAAATTAAGTTTTTTAGTATTTGAATCAATTATTATTAATCAACGCAAACAGTCAATTAATGTAGTTTGAATACTGGAATCATATTAATTGGTCCTCTTTTACAATTATTTAGACAATTATTTTTTTATTTTTAATGACATAAACGAACTATATCAACAATATTAATATCTTCTGCAACCTTTAAAAATTTGTTAGATCTTTAAAAATAATCAAAAATGTCAATATTCCATGGGTATATTGATTATTTATTAATTGCGGTCTAAATTATAAGGAAAAGCATTTTCTACGAAAACCTGAAGACATAGGTAAAAAATGATATAATACAATTTGATAGACAATTAAATTGTGCATCTGATTCCCATAAAATATACAGGGTGTTCCATTTAAATTATAGAAGTTATTGCCGTTTATAGCTAGTTATTATTTAAAATACATTTTTAGACACTCTGTATAAGGTAGTATATTTTTTATTATTGCAACACAAAATTTAGTAAATAGAAATACTTCAGTACAATATTTGGTTTTAAAAACTTAAATACGCCTGGAGAAATAAAGCCTTAGAATTATTACTGTATTTTGATAAAAACCTAAATATTTCATGAACGGGAAGATTAAAATGCGGTAAACCTTAATCAAATTTACCTTTATTTTAATCGTAGAAACTAAAAATGTAATAATATACAGGGTGTTCCGTTTAAAAAAAATACAACTTTGATATTTTTTATTTATTTGGGCCACTCTGTATCTTGTAAAAATATTTTTAAATTGTAGCTCTAATAGTCCTTCAGCGAACCCAAAACTTACAATTTGCAAAAATCTAAGAGTTTAGTTATAATACTCCGCGTCGTATGTGGTGAACAACCCTGTATAAATCATGTCCTAAAATTGCGTTAGCAATTAGTAATATTTACTAGTCTATTATATAATTATAATTATTATATTTATAATTATAACACACAAGTAACCACAAAACTACAACATAAATAATCTATACACCAATAAACTAAAATTCCTAAAATAAATGGCTAATAATAATTATTATTTTTACACACACCACTAACTGGCACTACCAGTAGATTGCGTTTGTGTCGAGCATCCGGCCCGATCAACGATCGATCCGAGCAAATCTTTTATCTTCGTCTCTGCGACGCGAACCGCGCCGATCTCGTCTATCCCTTTCTCACAGGATTGATTGTTGATCGAGTCGGGAAATCCACGAGCTTGCGACGTTACTAATCGACATCTTGATAGAAACTGCAGGCGTGCCGCTTCTTTGGCGTGTTTTTAATGTACAGGGTGGGTCAAATTCGACGCTTTTAAATGGAAACACCCTTTTCTATAGGAGATAGACGAAAACTAATATCGGTGTCTGGAGCTCAATTTTCATCAAAAACATGATGGTGAAAACTGCACATCAATATCTGTTACCGTTTCGGAGTTACGGGGTGTTTCTCAAAAATGTGCATTTTTAACAAATCGCTGTAACTTTTTTGCTATGGAAAATTTTGTATTTCTATGAAAATATTTCCAAAGCACCTTTTTACGTAGAATTTAACGGTTTAAGTATAATTTTTTTAAAATTAATAATTTAAGAGTTATTAACAGAAAAAGTGATTTTTTATTTGGGACACCCTCTATATTTTTAATTAACTGAAAAGAATTTAAAATTACCTTTCCAAAAATATAGCACACTCGATATTTTGATATAATCCCCTTCGAAATACAGAATTTATAAAAGTTTGCCACTTTTAACTAGTAGGCCTTGGACACCTTATTGATGATATGCCCTTAATGAAACTCGAAAACATATTTTTTCCAGCAAGAGGCCTCTGAAAGCTGAAGTTATCAGAAAATTTTTGCAGTCAATTTCAAGAATAATTGAATAGCTAACCAAGATCCCAGCCGTTAGCCGTCGAGGCCGCCTGACTTAGTGCCCGTGGATCAAATCCTATGGATATATTTGCGGAAGAATAAAGGTTCCTTATTCTTCCGTATAATCTAGACAAGAATTAGAAATACTTAGCAGTTACGAGAGGGTATCTTTCACCCCCACTAAGTTAATAAATTCCGCGAAAAATGTTCAAAAACTGCCCCGTCTGTCCATAACAGAAGACGGTCGATATGTCGAACACCTGTAGCAAAATCTCATGTCTTGTTTTCTTATTTATTTTTATTGTTATTAGATATAGTTTAAATGTGTTGATGTTGGTTGAATATATCTTAAGTTGTTATAAAATTCTACATCTCTCATAGAAAATATTATTTTCGTTTTAATTGATGCTCACAGCTAGATTTTTTTTGCATTACAGTCAGTGCCGTTCAAAGCCTACTTATTTAAAGCGGGCGAATTTTTATATACTCTATATCTCGAAGGGGAATCGCGCAAAATATCAAGTGTGTTATATTTTCTGAGAGGTAATTTTAAATTCTTTTCAATAAATTAAAAATATACAGGGTGTCCCATATAAAAAATCAAATTTTCTGTTGATAATTCTTAAATTATTAATTTTAAAAGAATTATACTTAAACCATTAAATTCTACGTAAAAAGGTACTTTGGAAATGTTTTCATAAAAATACAAAATTTTACATAGCAAAAAAAGTTACAGCGATTTGTTAAAAATGCATATTTTTGAAAAACACCCCGTAACTCCGAAAAGGTAACAGATATCGATATGCGGTTTTCACCATCATGTTTTTGGCAAAAATTGAGCTCCAGACACCGATATTAGTTTTTGTCTATCTCCTATAGAAAAGGGTGTTTCCATTTAAAAGCGTCGAATTTGACCCACCCTGTACACAAATCGAATTAAAAGCTTCAAATGGTAAAATCGCAAAAGCGCTTCACACGCAACAACGCAAAAATCGCGATTAGACACGCAATTTAGACACTCACTAAATCGGTAGGCTATTGACAATAATACGGTCCAGGCTTGGATTCCGCGTAAACAAAGTAGGCCCCGTCCAGATTAGCCTTAGTAGCAAAAAGAGAACGTTAACTTAAAATACTTTACAAAAAAATACTTTACGTACTTTACGTACGTACTTTGGAAATACTTTATCTAGTATTTTTTTTAGGTTATGGACACAACGCCCTCTTCCATACTGAAGCGTAAACCGAGAGAGGAGAAAGAGACTGTTATAGTTGTAGTTAACGAGACACCAGGCCCATCACACGTTTGTCCTGTGTCCATCTTAAAACGGAAAGTAGCCCAAGGTAAAATATTACTATCATCAGTTGTTCATAATTATTTTCAACAATCATAAATACTCTTTTAACGTGATTGTTTGCTGTTCAATCACTAATTTTATGTAATTTCAGATGAAAAGACTGAACCTCATTCGACACCTGTCACATTTTCACCCAGCGTCGTCGAGCCGGCCACGACCAATCGTAAACAAGGAATCTTGAAAAAGAGGCGGAGCCTAGACGAGTCTACCGTCATGAGGCACAGGAGTTGCAGTCCGGACGTGGCCAACAAATTTTCAGACTCAAAGTAAGTCTCAAAACTTAATCTACAGAGAATATTGTTGCTTAATCCTTTTATTCTTATTAGATCAATTCTCAAAAATCAAAGGAGATCGTCACTGGAGGAACTGAGAAGAACTCAGTCTCCTGAGATACATATCCAGGGTATTTTGAAGAGGAAACCTCGACCTGATGATGACGATCATTCTTTGAATTCACCGCAGAGTATTCTGAAACGACGATCAGGAGCAAGTAGTGCTGGTGAGTTATTTTCTAGGGATAAACAGATTTTTCTTGAAAATATGAAACTTTTTTCATTTTTTAAAATAATTCCCCTTTGATGACAATGTCTTATGTACTAATTATCATTTTTAGGAAGCAATTCTAGTACTCCACACGTATCAATCACTACAGCCGTTATATTGGCAGCGGCTGGTGGAGCTGAGATGGTTCTGGAACCAGAGGCTTCTCAAGAGTCTGTAAAACCTATTTTGAAAAAGAAAAGCTTTTCAGAAGATTACTCTTACAGGTATACATTCTATTGATTTATATCGGTTTTATACTTTGAATAAAAATATTAAGGAAGGAGCATATCACAAATCTTAGATCGACCGTGATGGGACTCCAAAATAGCCGACTTAAATTCCGGTTTATCAGTGCCGTTCTAATTTTATTCAAAACGTGTAAAAATATGATGTAGGGTAGACTCAGTAATTTGTTGTTTTATTTTACGTTGTGAATAAATGTTGGTAGTTATTAAAATTGTTATAAAAATATATAATTCTAATAAAAATAGATAAGTTATAATAACTATTTATTAACACAAACATCGGATACGGTACTGAAGCAGGTAAATTAAATTGACATATCTAAATTCTTTGACATCTAATCTTTGACAAGTAGTAAATAAAAGCAAAAATGCAAGAAAAAATATATAAATTATTTAATTTTATGTGAATTTCATGAATGATCGGTTTACTACACCTATGTATATTATTTAGTCACCTACTAGCAAACAGTTATTCCATTAATTTCACTCGATTTTTGACCGAGATCTACCGCACGCTATACAACCAACTATTTTACAGTCTTTTTCGATAAATCGCAATAGTGACTGTTAACTTAAGTTTTGCCACTAAATTTGCTTCTAGATTTACTATCTTTATACAACTATTAGTAGTAGAATAAATAATAAATAACATAAAATAAGCTCAGTAAAGACTGACAAATCCACGAACGACCCCATGAATCTTCAAACAGAACTGTCAAGGATCCCCACCCTAGAGTCCTCTTTCCATCGACCATGTATGAATACATGGATAGCATTATACTCCTTCCTTAATCTTTTTATTCAAAGGTTTTATATTATTGATTGCATCCTTATTAGCCTAATAGTATTATACAAATTAGTTTAGAATAGATTTTTGGTGTAGTTTGGCCTCTTTTACTGCGACTTTTTAGATCTATTGCGGTCCTCTTCTGGTCCTTTTATCCTTTTCAAAAAGTCTAATAACTTCGAGACTGATCTCTTCATATAGCTCCTTGTCAGTCGTCAGCTTTAGATCCCTATTAAGCTTGCCATGTTAGTAGATCCATCATATTTTTAACAATCGTCCTATATTTGCTTATCAGATCTGTGGTAAATTTTGGCGAATGTTATACTATGAACTTTTTTGCCTGTCTTCTAGAAATTTACTACCCACTCACTACCCACTATTTTGTGGACAATCTTGTGACTGGCATTGATGGACCTTGTTTTTTATCTGCATTTTTGTTACCCTTATTACCTTCGTGTCCTGGTACTCAGGCTAACTGAGAGTAACACAGAGTTGACCTTTGTAGAAACGAGTGTCCTTAGCGCTGTTTGGCTATCTGTGAAGATGGCCACTGAACGGTGTGTTCTTTCTTTTCTATTATTTCTTCTGCACAATAATGGATGGCCATTATTTCTGCCTCGAAAATGTTGCCATCCTTGGATAAGCTTACGAGGAAAGTTAATCCTTGTTTCTTGTTTCTGTCCTACTATTCCAGCTTCCACGCATTCCGACGTTCTTGAGATATCATAACCATGAGTTATACAAAACAAATTAAATTTAGTAAAATTTTGTATTTATGCGATATTTAATTAAAAAAAAATGTTTTGCATGATTTTAATTATTATATTGATTAGTTTTAGTGGTGATAGTTCGTCGGACGGTCCTAAACCAATTCTAAAGAAAAAGTCGAGCACGGACACGGATGACGGCGAGGATAAACCCATGAGACCCATATTGAAATTACCGAGAAATAGCTTGGAGCGTGAAATATTGGATACGGGTCAAGAGGGACGATATTCCAGATTTTCCAGCCAGGATTCCGACGGTAAATTAAAAATTTAATAAGTAAAATTTTAAAACAACCGAATTGACCATTTATAGAAATTCAGTGATCCACTCCATATTTTTGTTTACTAAATTTAGTCATCTAATTAAGGAAATAAAGTCTCTGTCTGTGACTGAGAAAAAATACAATTTCCTTATAAATTAAAATAACAGACAACTCTCACTGTCATGAATTTTCTCGTTGGATTTTTGAGTAAAAAGTTTAAAAAAGAGCATCTCAAAAAACTTATTAAAGCGCGTTGGGAAATTAGAATGACCGTCTTAAATTCCGGTTTATCAGTGCCTTTCTAATTTTGTTCAAAACTTGTAAAAATATGATGCAGGATAGACTCAATAATTTGTTGGTTTATTCTACGTTGTCAATAAATAATGTTAATCTATTATCTCTATCTAATAAACTATTCCATTATTTCCTTCGATTTTTGACCGAGATCGCAATACTGTCAGTGTGTTAATTTAAGTTCTGACACAATTTAGAACAAGACAACCTTTAGAATAAAAATAAGAAAAGCTTATTGCGTACATTTGTTTGATTAGTTATAAATTAAATTTGATGATATGTCATGTAAAATAATTGTCTGGGCTAGGCAACGCTCTTTTGTCTCTAGTAATGAGACATGAACACTAAGGCACATGACTCGGATGGATTGAATTGTAATTGACTAAATAATTTATCAGAGTGTGATAAATACTAGTTAGAGATACATAGTCGGCTGCTTAGACGATACAAAGGGCCCAATGGGACCATAGTTTGCAGTAATTTCTGTTTAATCTTTTCGGATCCAACGATCAAAACAGACTAAAACAATATGCCTAATGCTTTACAGATATGCGGAGACTAGGTGGATTTGAAATAAAATGTTTTTAAGGAGATATTTGTTGATTAATATTTGGTTTGAGATATTATTATTAAGTAAGTAAGTATAATGTAAAATATACTTAATTTAGGCCACAGTCTGTTCATTAGACAGCCAGTCAACTTGGCTAGTTTTCGCGACAATTTTTATAAATGGAGCTTCCACGTATATCAGAATCCGACTCGGTATAGTCTGTCCAACGACAAACTGCTTGATAGGGATAGATGTGTCTGTCATTTTAATTTCAAAGTAGTTTATTTTGTTTTACAAAGAAACAAGTTAGTACAGTTGGAACGTATATAAGAAAATTAATAATTTAAAATTTGAGTGACAAGTTATTACTTCAAAATATTGTGAAAAACATATATAAAAGTGAAAAAATTGAGTTATTTATGTTAAAAAAAATTACGGTATGTGTCAATACAAAATAAACAAGATTGTATTTTATACAAGACAAGACACCACATACTAAAAAAAAACAAGCAACTAACCTGCATTTATTATTACATTTATCAATATAACTTATGTACAAATAAACAATTTTAATATTGCAAAGGGATAAATAAAACACAACATAAATAAAACAAAATATTTTATCAATAACAACACTTACTGAATTTTATATCTTAAAAATTGGTCAATTAACTTTAATCTTTTTTTTTTCAGTACCTTTTGACATTATCTCTGTGCAGTACTAAAATTTATTATTTACCTATCGTGTGATGTTATTTTACTCCAGTTTTTGGTACCATATACGAGATGGTATACAAACTTTATTTGTGACTAATACAATTCTCTGGCAAACTGTGTCTCTGGGCACCGAATATTAACTGTAAACTATGATCTAGGTCAACACTTAATTTTTCCTCCAGTTTGCTCCACTTAATTTAAAAAAAACACGAAATACACGTAATAACACAGTCCAAAATGCAAAATATTTATCACTTCTATTTGACATAATTTGACACATTCAACACAAAATTATAATTTATAATTTGGTTGGTTTGGTTGCAAGAGTTTGACAATTCAGTACTTGCAAGAGTTTGACAATTCCCAAAAATCTTAAGTCGCGTTCATACGCATTGGCGTCCGTTTGTCGTTCATCGTCCCATCAAACCAATAAATAATATTGAAATATGATCTGTCATTTTTGAAATAAACCAATAAAATCAGTTAAAAACAAGAGACGACGCATGGCGGATTTATATATAAATTCATCCATAATTAACTTAAAAAATATTAGAAACTTATTTTTAGTGAAATAAATGGATTGGTATGGACGTCATCTGCTTCTTTTTCTGTCATCTTCTGTCGAAATCTTACCTGAGAAAAAAAGAGAGTATATAAATAAAATGAAAATGATCATAAGTCAACTGGCTGCCTAATAAATAGGCTGTGATTTGTTTGATGATAAACTACGCCAATTTTAGAACAACATTGTTATTTCATTTCTTTTCAGACGTCAAACCGATCCTCAAATCTGGATCCTTGCGCGCCGAATCGCCCAGGCCGCGCCTCTCCTTCTGCGGCGACGCAGCAACCGCACCCTCCACCTCGTCCGACGTGGAGGCGAGCCGATTCCGCACCTCCCGCCGGTCCTACACGGTCTGCGCCGATTTCAACGTCACCTCGAACGCGATAGGGCGCAGCAGGGAGGACGACCGGGATCTGAAGAAGGCGCGACCTCTTTCGGTCTTGGAACTGATCAAGACCTTCGAGAAGAACGTCGGTACCGGCGAGGGTAAGAGCGATGGGAATGGCGGGGCTATTCCGAAGAAGAGGAGCGGGGATAGGTACAGGACGCAGCCGGTGACGTCCAACGAACTGGAAGCGAGGTTTGTATTATTTTGTATACTTTGTGGAAATACTAGCGTGTACCCGCGACTTCGTTCGCGTCGAATTAATCATTTGTAATGGTGATGATAAAGCAAAGCAAGAATTTTCATTAACATACAAACTGGATAAAATTTTCTCACATTTATGTCAGCATGAGAAAAAACAATATGGCGATATTATTATGTAACTTGGTAATATTTGAGGGGTAGTTTCATCTCGTTGGAATTTGACTTTTGAAAAATCCATTTGCCAAAAATAAGCTTTTTACGTCAAGCAGTTTAAGCAGGATCGTGATTACTCAACGGTCATATTTTATGAAACACCCTGTATAAATTTTTAAAAAATCTTAAAATAAGTAATCTTAAAATCTTAATAATAAAAGTTTTCCGAAAAACTCACCGGTTTTTAAATCAAAAATATTCTAATATTTGAGTGGTTTGGTTTGGTTTCACCATCTTGAAAATTGCCCATAACTTTTTTATTTCGCGGAATAATAAAATTCTGTAAAGACGTTCTTAAGGCACTTTTTAAGCACAATCCAGTGGCGTAGTGAGTTTTTTTTCCATGCTTGCTCTTTTTGTCAGAAATAATAAAAAATATAATTTTATAACGTTTAACCATTTCGAACGATATAAAGTTATGGGTACCTATTTCTAAGAATGAGAGAAGTATTAGTTTTTTTATCTTTGTATCGAAGTGTGGCCTTGATTTTGTGTTGACCTAGTTGTCTAATTATTTTTTATCGCAATTTAATATTCTATATTATTATTTATCTGCATAATTAGAGACTTTTGTAAAGGTAAATTAACATTGTATATTAGTTTTAGTAATTACAATTGAAATCGATACAATAAACAAAGAACAAAGCTAAAAAAACGTATTTTTTGAGTGACGAATATAGTTTTCTAAAAAAAATCATCTAAGATGTTCAAACTGAGCACCTCCTTGTTGAATACATAATAAACATCTTTTGCGCACAGAGTTACAGCGATTTATTAGGCGAACGGTGTAAGTCCAAAAGCTTGCCTAGTAGCCTTCTGTAATTCTTTTCTCGTCCCAATGGTTCTTCCCTTATAGATAAGGTCTTTTAATTTCCCCCATAAAAAAGCCGAAAGAAGGTAAATCACAGGATCTAGCAGGCCAAGATATGGGGTCCCTTGTTCCAATCCGATCTCTAAATTCTCTATTAATGGCGTTTTAATTGTAATTGGTAAAACTAATATAGAATGTTGATTTGTCTTTTCAAAAGTCTTTAATTTTACAGATAAATAATAATATAGAATATGAAATTGCGATAAAATTTAATTAGGCAACTAGGTCAACACAAAATCAAAGCCCGCTTCGATACAAAGATAAAAACCCTAATATTTCTCTCATTGTTAGAAATAAATACCCATAACTTTGTATTGTTGCAACGGGTTAAACATCAGCATTTTTTTAAGTTCATAGCCAACTATGATTTTCATTTAAATAATTATATTTTTTATTATTTCTGACAAAAAGAGCAAGTATAGAAAAAGACTGACTACGCCACTGGATTGTGCTTAAAAAAGTGCCTTAAGAACGTCTTTACAGAATTTTATTATTCCGCGAAATAAAAAAGTTATGGGCAATTTTCAAAATGGTAAAAAAATCAAAAAGACCCCGTATCTCAGTTGGCAGTGAAAATATCAACAAGCGGTTTATGCCATTAAACGTCTCTCAGAAATCGAGCCCATGATATCTACGTCGGTTTTGCTCTATCTAGTCAGGAAATAGGTTTTCCCTGTTAAAACAGACCAATTTCGACCACCCTGTACATACTTTCTTCCGAAAATGATGTCTGATTGCTAAACTTTCTCTAAATTCAGACCTCTGAACTGTTAGCCATTAGAAGTACGATGCTATCACGGCGACTGAGAGAACGGAAGTTCTACTTGTGAATTAAAATGACAATAACTGTCACTGTTTGTTTTATGCCATATTCCGTTGCAAAACCAGGTGAACGAAACCGGTAAACTACGGTGAAGAGCGGTTCATGGAAAACATCGGTTAGATACGGAACGGTTTGGTAAAATACTGGATATGTCAAATGTTGACGTTTTCTAAATTTCAATGCCTTTATTCTTCTTACGACGCCGTGTCCTTTCGAAGGTTGGCGATCCAAATAGCTAACGTCATTCTAGATACAGCCATACGAAATATGTCGATTGATGAGCAACCAAACCATCTACGAATGTCCTTTAGCCAGGAATTCTGGCGTCTGCCGATAGATCTTTTGCCCTTTACTTTGCCTTCAATTATTAATCTGAGAAGTTCATACTTTTTACCCCTCATTATGTGGCCTATGTAGCATGTTTTTCTTTCTTTGATGGTAACCATGAGTTCTTTCTGTTTTCTCATTCGATTAAGAACCTCCACATTTGAAACTCTTTGGACCCATGATATTCTTAATATACGGCGGTAAATATACATTTCGAAGGCATCTATTTTTTTTTCTAACGATATGTCAAGAGTCCAACTCTCACACCCGTACAGGAGAACTGAAAAAATGTAGCATCTGACTATGCGTACCCGTAGCTCCAAACTCAAATCTGACCTTGTGAAAAATTGTCTCATATTTATAAATGTTTTTCTAGCCTGTTCTATGCGGCTTCTAATTTCTTTCTTCGGGTCGCATTGATCATTTACAATACACCCCAAATACTTGTATGAAGACACTTGCTCTACTGGGTCACCGTTGATATCCAGGTGAATCTGCACAGGTGTTTTGGTGAATGCAAGAACCTTCGTTTTTGTGGTATTTATGAGGAGACCGCAGTTTTCACTATGCCGAACTAATTCATTCATTAGCCTCTGCAAATCTTGTTCATTCTCGGCCAGCACAACTGTATCGTCGGCATACCTGATATTATTGATCACTTTCCCGTTAATCTTAATTCCATATTTTCCAATATTCGATTCCTTCTAGAGCTTCTTTGAAGATAGCCTCTGAATATATATTAAATAAGAGCGGTGACAGCACACAGCCCTGTCTTACACCTCGTTTAATCGTGATTTCTTCTGACGATGTTCCTTCAATTTTAACCACTGCGTTTTGCTGCCAGTACAGATTTGTAATCAATCGAATTTCTTCTCTATCTATTCCGGTTGTTTTGAGGACTTCTATAAGTTTTTGATGGTTAACGCAGTCAAAGGCTTTTCTATAATCTATAAAACAAGCGATTACATTGACATTCATTTCTCTGCAACGCTGAGTGATAACGTTTAATCCGAATAACGCCTCACGAGTTTATTATAGAACTTATTTTTTACGCATTTTTAATGTATGTTTTCAATGTGTGATGTTTTTGATGTATCTATTCTCTGATTTTATGCTTGATTCTTCTTTTCAATGGAATTTAGTATTGAAAAGTACTCTATTAATGAACTGTTAAACTCGTCAAACAGCTCAAATGATGAGGATTTGCAGGTCCGTAGCCACATAGGAAACTGATCGATATTAAAATAAATCAATAATAAATAAATAGATCTAATCAATATTTATATTTTCATAGTTCACAAAACATTCATAATTACTTCTTGTCTTGCTTCTCATGATTTCGTTCAATGTTTCTAACTTGAAACAATGGCCGCATGATAAGTTTAAATGGTCCTAAAAAATGACTCTATTTAGTTAATAAAATTTCTTTACATTTACTACACACCTCCATTGCTTCTAGGAAATAATAACACAAATTTTATAAATTAAATGTGAGTTTCACTCAAACTTGCAATTTTTGCTTCATTTCTGCCACATAAATGACATTGATTGACAAACAAAACCAGAAAAACCAGCCTTACCGCGCTGCTGGTTAGTTTGGTGACAATCATGATAGATATTTCTCAGGAACCGTGTTCCGTTGTAATAAAACTTTCAGGAAACCGATAGAAACGGAACATAAAACCATAACCTTAATTTCAGGATAAATTATTTCTCTTTCTTCTTTGGGATGTCGTCTGTTGAAATCACACATTTTTACTCTGGAGATAATATATGAAAACCATATGGTTACAAACCACCCATGATTATATAATCATTTACTCCTATCAACTCCCGATAAAATTTATATTTGTTTATTATTTTCGCCAAGATAAAAAAATAATCTTATCGTCCGATTTCGACGTTTTTTCTCTCTTTCTTTGTTTTATCTCATTAAGAAAAATTCTTTTTTTTCTTGGCACGGGTCCTGGGATTCTCAAGGGGGTCTAAATTTAGACCGATTTCGAAAAGTTTTGCGAAAGTTTCATTTAATACGTTCAGTTGCACGTATCTATAAGCCCAGTGCGCGATATTTTCGTCTTTTTTTCACCTGAGAAAATAAACAAAACCTTGCGATTCAGGTATGTTTTTGTTTACGCCGAGAGTAGTTCAGATACACTATAGTTTCTTATTGTTTGATTTTCTGAAGAGTTTAAGCTACTTATGCGTTTATTTTATTTATATATTTGAATTATTATTATTTTTAAATCAATTCCATTTTTTTAAATTAATAAGCTACATACAAAAACATACATTTTTTTACGTTGTTGGTAGTTTAAACACACCATATCTTCTGGAAATTGATATTTCGCTATATACTCTTACTAAGAATAAGGAAACATTTTAGACTATGAGTCTATCAGAATATGAAATATCCATTTTTTTTAGAAATGAACTCACCACAAAGGTAGATATAGTATTTGCTTCATATCTTATTGAGATCTTTTGTTAAACATATCCAGTACAAAACAAAGAAGATGAAGAATATTGAAATATGCTGATGATGAATGCATATGTTGGTTATTTGGTTTATAACATCAGTTGATGTTACCCGCCAAGACATAAAAATAAACAAAATATCTGAATTAAAACAGAATAATGAAAACTTGGTTATTATTATTAAAATTATTTCCAATTTTGTTACATGGTTGGGGTATATTTTAATATTTGCTGGGATTTTGTATGATAATAAACTTGTTTACATAGCAGTTTTAGAGTTTCTCATATTTTGATTTTATTTCATTTGGTCTAAAATAGCTAGCAAAGTTGGAAAATGTAATCGTATTGACGTTATGATGAAATAACCCACGCTTTTACTTATAAATAAATCCTTACGTTTTACACCAACAGTATTTTTGATTGTATATTACTTTTACTACTGTATTTGTATAGTAATAGTACCTATATTGTTTTATTAGGAGTACAAAATGTCATTTTTATTCCGAATAAATCCAATTTCAAACAATTTTTAACAATAATATACTATTCTATAACATTCATTTATTTACAATTTTGGTTTGACAATAATATAATATGTACTCTTTTGTGAACCATTTTGGCAAAAAAATCCCGTTCAATTAAGATGGCTTAAAAATAATCTCAAGTGGGTATCAATAATATTCAATGATTCATATAAATCTCTTTATTATAGCATCTGAGAGGCAGTATTATAAATGTTGTGAATTGTTTTTATGAATTGCAACTGTATTATTTTATTTATTTTAAAATAAGTAAAGTTGTGATTTGTTAAAGGATTTTAGAAAATATCTTAAAAAATTACAACCTGCTTACATATACTGCAAGACTTTTTGTATACAATCAAACATATTCGCTGTCAAACATTTTGAGAAGGCTTTCGATAAACTTCAACATCATAGACTAATTGAAATACTTTAAGGCATGAATATTGATAGCCGAGATATCAGGATAATAGCAAATCTTTATTGGGGGCAAACAGCGAAGGTTATAGTGGACGACCAACTTTCTGATGAAGTGAAGATTCTGAGTGGCGTTCGTCAAGGATGTATACTTTCTCCGCTATTGTTTAATATACAGGCCCGGCAATGGATCTCTAGGCATAGGAATTACATGCATTGGAATGAAACGCCTATAAAAAGTCTATGCTTAAACAGAGATGGACAACAACTTCCCCGTTTCCACTTCCACTACGACTGTCTACTTAGACAAACTCCAATAAGATAACAAATTTTGGAAATTCCGCCACCTGTAGAGTCTATGGCCTGAAAATGAACCCTAAGAAAACTAAATTTATGATAATCACTAAGAGAGAAGATGTCCAAGCCAATGTTCCAATAGATGATATACACCTATGGAGAGAGTACAAAAATATAAATATCTAGGCAGTTGGTTGACCGAAAACTTGGATCAATCAGCAGAAATAAAAGCTCGAATAGAAATAGCCATCGCCAGAGCATCCTTTGTAAAACTCAAAAAATGTCTGTGCAGTGGAGACATCAACTTAAAGCTTAGATTAAGAATGCTAAAGGGTTACATATTCGCAACTCTACTCTATGGTTCAGAGGCTTGGACACTTAAAAAGGCCGAAATGGAGTAGCTTGAGGCATTCGAAAGATGGTGTTATCGGCGTATGCTGAGAATTGCATGGACTGACAAGGTTACAAATGTAGAACTGCGACGCAGAATTCAGAAGGACGAAGAGGTGATTAACACCCTTAAAAAGAGAAAACTTGAGTACTTTGGGCACATTATGAGAGGACCTAAATATGACCTGCTGCAGAACATAATAGAAGGAAAGATAAAGGGCAGAAGGAGCCAAGGAAGAAGAAGAACATCATAGCTCAAGAATTTGAGAGAATGGTTTGGAATAACTTCAAACCAGTTATTCAGAAGAGCTGTTAATAAAGTTAGAATTGCCATGATGATTTCCAACCTCCATTAGGAGATGGAACCCGAAGAAGAAGAAGATATTCGCTGTATTCTTTTCAAAATTAAAATTAATTATTACCAAAACTTTTTACTATAAATATTTTGATGACAGAAAATCAATTCATAAGTCTTTTTTGAATGCTCAGTTTTATTATTTGTTTGTTATTATTATTTACTAATTTTCTGAATTCTAGACGTGTGTATTTTTCTAAAATAATTAATTTCCTAATATCTTTAGTATATATATATGCATGCGGGTGTTATTACGACTAGTGTCGTTTCCCGCTCCTCGACTTCCATAAATTCCGGTCCCACCAGTCGCCATTTCTCAGTTGTCTTTCAAGCATGGCTTCCTGAACATCATTCTGCCATGTTCTTGCTGGTCTTCCACGTTTTCTTCTCTCTACTGGGATCCAGTCCCATACTCTCTTGGGTATTCTTAAATCATCCATTCTTTGAAGGTGGCCAAACCATAGCAATCGCTTGGATTCTATGGTATCCAAGATAGTACCATTTACTTGCATTTCCTCTCTTATACAAACATTTGTTACGTGATCTAGGCGAGATGTTCTGTTACTACGCCTCCAATAGTCCATTTCAAGTGCAAGTAATCTATCCTTGTTTCTCCTTGTGAGTTCCCACGTCTTCGATCCGTAGGTATTTATAGTCTATAAAATGAATAACTTTGAATTTTGACCGTTATTTTTTACCAACATGGCAAATATAAAATCCCTCTATCAAAAAAGTAACTGATATTCTTTAAGTATTCTTTAAATTGAGTGCCTGAACGAATCAGATAGGTAACTCTTTTTACTTACGTGAAATAGAAAAGGAAAATAATAAAACAAGTGACAGTTCTTCCTCTTCTTGCAAAAATCAACACGAAATGGCATAATTGTCAAAAGTAAAATGTCATCAGCTTTTGACATTTCTAAATATCAGACCAATTCCGTCTGTAATAGAACAGCCTCGGAGCGAGATTTATGACGTCACGCTAATTAGATACGGATTAATAAATATGTTGTAGAATACATGGAAAACATAATTATTCCTCGTATTTTTGGTTTGTATTTTAAAAATGATATAGTTTACATGAAATATACATAATATACAGTTAATAAATATAATATATACCTATTTATAGTAATAAATACTTTGGCAAATAAACTATGAACCATACAAATGCAGCAAATGTTTTACAATATACATATAATGAATAGGTACATAAGATATTGGGTAAAATGTAAAATATATTTTAAATTTTGGGGCTTGAAAATCGATCTAATTGAACAAAAAACATTCAATATATACTAATTATTATTTGTATTCACAAAATTTATATGTACATATATTTTGCAAGTATCAATGTTCGAAAAATTATATTTGCATTCGCATTTTTTCTATGATATTGTATTAATATCATAGAAAAAATGCGTCAGCGATGGCTATGAAATAAAGATCGCTGTCATTTTATAATGTAAAATTAATCTGAAATTTTTGATTTTCTTGGGATTTAGGTTCGCGAAAAACGCTGATTAAGTTTTTATTAGGTTTTTCATTATTTTTTTGGTTTAAAAAAAACTTTTCGGCTAACATTATAGCCTTCATCAGTGTTGTGTCATATAAAAATATAGTGTCGAATATAATCCAAAAAATTGCATATAAAATATGCACACCAAACCAAACCACATAATGTTTACTGCAATTAATAAACTAATATAAACTTGTCAAAAGATGACCACATATTTTTTAAAATTATTATTCTTAACACTAAAACTATCTACATTGACTATGGAGTACGATTTCAGCCATAGTCAAATATAAGGAATAGTTATGTTAGCGTGACGTCATAAATCTCGCTCAGAGGCTGTTCTATTAGAGACGGCATTGCGTCAGCATGGTCGCAAGTTGCTAACGTAATAAAATTAACACTAGAAAAGCCCGGGGAATCTATCCTTGTTTCTCCTTGTGAGTTCCCACGTCTCCGATCCGTAGGTACAAACAGATTCAAAGATAGAGTTGTACATCATCTGTTTCGTTCTTCTTGAAATCTTTAGTAGATATAATTTAAAAAATCATCTTTTAAATACAGTCTGATAAACAGATCTGAACCAACATGAAAGCATGACCGATTTCATTCATAAAATATCCAAGGTGTAGTGTTTGTATATTATACTAGTATAACAATAATATGCTAGTGTATGTGATATTTTTATAGTAGTCATTATTTCCACTAATTCCAGTGATGGTCATAAAATTGGAGGTAGCAATGGCCAATAGACAAATGTTATGCGCATAGCTACCACCTGGTAATGAAGTGTGCGAAAAACTCCACCAATTAGGTTGGTTGATTTCGGGATGCCTTGCCATGATAAATTTTCTCAGCATTGCCGGTGTGTCCGAAGCGAATGATATCTTTAGGAAATATTTATCTTTTGTAATAGACAAAACGATTAACTAAATAACAACAATACATATAACAAGAACTACGTTAAAATACTCAGCAGCCTATATATGATTAAATATACTGGAACGAGCTAAAAATATATTAAATTTATAGGTAACATTGAGCAATTTTATTTTACTCTTAAATAGTAGACAAAATAGAATTTTTTACTCGCAGTCCTTTCGCTGCTTCAGATCCGTTTGTCAGATAATACATAACTCTATTTTTTAACAACAACTTGATATCAAATTATACGTATATTTTTCTTTTTGCAGTCGCAATCTTGTCAACCACACAAGCCCTAGACACGCCTCCCAATCTGAGGATCACTCTCCCCGCCCCTCTCAGTTTTCTTACCACGCCCACAGCACTCTGTCAGGCTCGTCCCGATCACTGGACGCCGCCACCTTTGATTTCACATCGCCGTTAGAGAATGAGAGTCGCCTAAACTCCTTCCTGTCATCGTCTTTCCAAACTGTAAGTACTACTGTATTATTTATTTATTATACAGGGTTGTTCACCACATACGATACGGAGTATTGTATCGAAACGATTAGATTTTTACAAATTGTAAGTTTTGGGTTCGTTCAAGGACTATTAGAGCTACAATTTAAAAATATTTTTACAATATACAGAGTGTCCTAAATAAATAAAAAATGTTATAGTATTTTTTTAAATGGAACACTCTGTATATTATTCTATTTTTAGATACTACGATTGAAATAAAGGTAAATTTGATTAAGGTTTACCGCATTTTAATCTTAACGTTTTTGAAATATGTACGCTTTTGTCAAAATTCAGTAACAATTTTAATGCTTCATTTCTCTAGGTTTATTTAAGTTTTTTAAACCAAATATTATACTGAAGTTACTATGTTACTAATTTTTTTGCTGCAATAATAAAATTATACTACCTTTTACAGAGTGTCTAAAAATTTATTTTAAATAATTACTAGTTTTAAACGGCAATAACTTGTTTAATTTAAATGGAACACTCTGTATATTTTAGGAGAATCAAATGCATAATTTAATTGTCTATCAAATTGCATTATACCATTTTTTACCTATCTCTTCAACTTTTCGTAGAAAATGCATTTTCTTATAATTTAGACCTCATTTGTCAATATACCCATGGAATATTGACATTTTAGATTATTTTTAAAGATGTAATAAATGTTTAAAGAGTACCAGATACTAATATTGTCGATATAGTTCGATTAAGTGAACAATGCAGCGAACGGCTTATATAATAGTGTAAGAAAAGAGATAAAAATAAAGAAAATATTACACATTTGGGATTATTTCGAATTTTTGTTTAAAATATTGTCTTTTGCAGGTGGGCGTGTCTCCAGAAAGCCCTGTCTGTCACAAAACTTCTTCTGATTCCGCTTTCCAATCGCTGGGCGACGGACTAGAGTTAGAAGAACCTCCAGAAGAAACTGAAGAGTCAGATATGTCGTTGGCGAGCCAGATGAGAAGTTTGGCCGAAGAGGCGAAGAAAAAACGACAGGAGAGAGGTAAAATATTAATGTTTTCTATTAAATCTGTATAGATATGTTAATATTATGTCTACGAATGGTTATTTTACGCAGCTTTTGTAAGAGACAAATAAGGAATATCTTTAATTATATTTCTCATCAAGATAAATATAGTGTGATTCACGTTAGACGTTTATGGAGAACCGGTGAATTTTTTTGAAAATTTGGATTTTTACATAAAGGCACCTGCTTCATCTTTCTAAAATATTTTCAGCATTACAATGTTGCCGCATCATTTGAAAAGTGGTAGCATCTTTCTTATTTTTAATGGAACACCCGGTATATTATTACATTGTTCTGTTATATTCTATTATACTAACCTATACCTAGCTCTAATAGTTTTTAAGATAAAAAAATAAAACGTGTAAAATTGACAAAAACATGATCGTGAGTAAAATCATAAATTAAACATGTTTAAAGTTGAAATTTGGGTTATAAGTTATTGTTAATCTGAGGTTATAAGTTAACGAAGTCAATATATTTGATCTGTCTAAATAAACCAGTTGGATATTAACACAGACTAACCTAAACAGATGCGACAAACAATGCAAATGTGAAAATTACATTTTGGCGAATGCGCCAGGCTCATTTTTTCAGTTATATTTATCATATAGGCGAATTTTACAGTGGACCAGCAAAGTAACCTCCATTCGTTTACTAAGAAGCCACGCCTCCTTTGTGAAGAAAATAGAGAGGGAATTTTGTAGTTCGGAATCAAATAGAGATGATTTTAATTTCATTAGTTTTTTTTTCAATTTTTGATACATTCACAATAATTAATAATAACTAAAAAATATTAATATATTTTAAAAAAAGGTTTTTTACTATTAGATATTTTTATGTATTTCTTAATAAGAACCAAAAATAATATATTAACTATCTAATATAATATTTTAACTATACAGGGTGTCCCAGAAATAAGTGCAAGTATTTTAAGGGGTGGTAGATCTTGATAAAAGAAATATATTTTCACTTTATCGTTTTTCAAATGAGTCCAAAATAGCGGAGTTATTTTACTTTGAAAATTTCCAAAAAAATGATTTTTGTTAAAATTTTGAGAACCACTGGATCTTTTCTGGATTTTCTTTCCTGTAAATTTAATCTAATAAATATGTTGCCCTATTATCAATAAATTATGGTTTTTAACTAAAAACTAATCCATAAACGTCTAATGTGCCATGGCCGTGAATCACCCTGTATATTAGTAACAAGCTGTCGATTTTATAAAAATGCACTTGCTTTCTTTTTTCAGATCAAAACATATCTGAACGCCGTGGCATCCTCAAACAGCCACACCCTAGCGACGCCTCTTCCCCTTTACCGCGTCGCAGTCAGTCGTTCGCGTCGGCTCGTCCCGCCCTCCGTAGGCGTGACTCCCCGCCCGCCGAAACTACACGATTAGATTCGTTCCCACTCGAGTCGTCTCGGGCGGAATCGGCCTTTCGTAAAGTGAAACCGAGTCGAACGGAGACCGCGACAGACAAAGACGACGAAGGCATTTCGTGTAACGATTCCGGATCGGATTCGGAAACGTCAGAAGTGAAGGGGCGTGTCCAGCGGAACAAAGGCGGAGCTCTGGACGATACGTCGGAGGGTGAGAGTTCGGGCGGTAGGGAGGTGAAAAGTATCTTCAGGCACGAGAATAGCCGATTGGGATTGAATTTCAAGTAAGTAGAAAAATGTGCTATTTACATTTTGTATGGGTGGAGGGAGATTTTTAAACTTTTTTGAACTTTTAATGGAAAAAAATCAAAATTAAAAAATATTTTTTTAAAACTTCTCCATTACAGTGGATTTATTATCCTAGTCCTCTCCTAATTTGTAGACGATCTATATTAAGGCTATTTACATTTTGTATGGGTGGAGGGAGATTTTTAAACTTTTTTGAACTTTTAATGGAAAAAAAATCAAAATTAAAAAATATTTTTTAAAACTCCTCTATTACAGTAGATTTATTATCCTAGTCCTCTCCTAATTTATAGACGATCTATATTAAGTTTCTACGTGATTGATCAACGGGTCAAATACAAAAGTTAAGCGTATTGAATTAATTTATATTAAGTCACTCTTTATTTTCTTTAGGGTATATGATACATTGCAGATACACTGTATGTACTGTTTTGGTTATTTTTTAAGCTTCAGTCTTGTGGGATGTCAAAAATCACTTACATCATAACTAAATTTAATCAAAAAATGAAAAATGTTTAAGCAAAAGTGTTTATATTTTAATAAGCTTTATTTTTTTAATATGTCTTAAAAGGATGTGTGTGATGTGACACACTCTCTATTTGACACTTAGTAAAGTCATATATGCATATCGGGAATGTATTGGAGTATATACCCCGAAACACAACGTCAAATTTTGCCTAATTTTGAAAAAATATTAATACGACATGGCGATAAAAAGTACAACATGCTCCATTTTTTTTACTACATTGTCTTGTATAATTAATGTTATGATACGTTATTAACAATATAAATATTTAATTAGGAATTGAGCCGAGACCATGACCAGATTTTGAGAGGACATAATCATTTTCATTTCTTTTCTTAGAGTTGTTTTTTAGATGTCTTGGGTTTGGGTTATTATTGTGGAAAATAAATGTGTTTGTTTTCCTCTATAATTACTATTATTAAAAAACATACTTTTTTAGATTTGTACTCTTTTTGTCAGAATAGCAGCAAATATCATCACTTTCGGATAATTGTAATTTTACTTGTGTATAATGAGCGAAGAATCAAAACTGTTGGCCAATGCCAAGCCATAAATATTTGCTAAACATATTTTTATGGTTGGTTATTATGGCTGGCCGTAAAAAATTTGGTTTCGTCATATTGGTAAATAAATTAAAATATAAATAGTTCACCTCGATTTAATACAGACAAGCAGACTACTGGAACCGATATTTTTATTCTGATAAATGCCCATAGTGTGCCATCAAATTTTACCGTTATTTTAGTTGTTTTATATTTTAATGTAGTTTGATGAATTTGATATATTTTAATGAAGTTTGATTGCTTTGGTTTTAATCTTTTTTCGCGATTTAGGCCAGGAAACGAAAACATGAATTCGGAAAAAAATGTGTGTCAAGGAGGTCATTGTTTTAAGTGGTTGGGTTGAGAGAGAGAGACCCAGAGTAGTAACGTACCAAAAGTTCGTAGCCATAGACCTTGTGCGTTAGCCATGGGGGGAGGGGGAAGGGGTGAAAAACACCGGTTTATAGGTTTTTTGTTATTATCTCGAAAACTAAGCATCCTAGCGAAAAAAATGTAAGAATGTGGATGTAATACAAACTGAAAGTAAATTCAATTGTTTACAAAAAAGGTCCTATTCATTTTTTCGCTAGGAGCAGCAGTTAAGGGTGTATAATACTTTGAAAATACGAATAGGTAGAAAAACTGTGTATAGTGGAAGATTAACACAAACCAGAATTTTTTTTATAAGTATTTAAGTTTATATATGGCAATATCAAGTACTCTATTGTTCGAGTTCATCGTCAAAGTTATCATCATCGTCGTCGCCGTTGATGCCGATGATTGGAGGACCGTTGGTTCACGAAGCGCGGCAAGTTCTGCACACAAGCGAACAGGGTATGCCTGCTTTACGGCACCCGCAAAGGCTTCCGCAACCAGTCTTGCACCCTCAAAATATATTACTTAGCACAGATTCTGGCGCAACTGGATCCGTGCTTGTGACAGGTGCGAGGAAGCCGTCCAACCCATTCAACCATCCCCAAGCAGTTGGCTCCTGCTGCTGATTTCCATGCAGCCAGTGCTGAAGCTGCAAATGATAATTCATCCGTTGTTGGTCATTACAGTAATACGAAATAAATGTTAAGTTTCTAAGGCTTTGTTTACAAAGCATATATTGACACAAACCTGCAAATAAACTCTGAGGGAGTGCTAGCGAGCAGCGCCTCTAGTAGGTGGAAGTGCCTCAAAATCAGATCTTGGCTTTGTTGACTTTAAGTTACACCAGGCCTTTGCTTTAACAAAGGCCTGGTGTCGTACTCGGGTACTCAGGTCTGCTCCTTTTGGGACCTGGTACAATGTCAAAAAAATCAGCTGTCCTGCATCAGCTACCATGTCCTGTATTGCTAAGGGATCAGAGAAGACTTTATAAATGTCTGTGACCTCCTCTTCAGCCTTTAAAAATACTTTAACCACCCCTCCTTTGCTCTTGTTATAAATAGCGGAGGTAGTATCATAACCGCGGAACGAATGGAGTAACAGAAATGTCTTCGCATATGGCAGCTTTTGGAGGTTGGCGACATTATACCAACGTGACTCAGGGGAGGTTAATGCAACTAGCAACACCAACAGGTCTATATCCTCCCCCTATGACTGTCACAGTTTGATGCTGGTTAGCTGCCTGCAAACCACAGCTTACGATTTTGGTATCACCGTCTCCTGTGGCTACTACTGCTATAGTCTGTGAAACGAATAACTTTGAATTTGACAGTTCCCGCGGGCTTTTCTAGTGTTAATTTTATTAGGTTAGCACTTGGTTAGCAACTTGCGGCCATGCTGACGCAATGCCGTCTCTAATAGAACAGCCTCAAGCGAGATTTATGACGTCACACTAGTTAGATACTACAGATTAATAACTATGTTGTAGAATACATGGGAAATAATTATTCCTCGATTTGTTGGTTTGTATTTTAAAATGATATAGTTTACATGAAATATACATAATATACAGTTAATAAATACAATATATATACCTATTTATATTAATAAATATTTTGGCAGATAAACTATGAACCATACAAATGCAGCAAATGTTTTACATATGACTGAAATCGTACTCCATAGTCAATGTAGATAGTTTTTGTGTTAAGAATAATAATTTAAAAAAATATGTGGTCATCTTTTGACAAATTTATATTAGTTTATTAATTGCAGTAAATATTATAATATATAAATAAATTTTGTGAATGCAAATAATAATACATCACTATTAGTAGATATTGAATGTTTTTTGTTAAATTAGATTGATTTTCGAACCCCAAAATTTAAAATATATTTTACATTTTACCCATTATCTTATGTACCACCTATTCATTATTTTTATATTGTAAAACATTTGCTGCATTTGTATGGTTCATGTTTATTAGCCAAAGTATTTATTACAATAAATCGGTATATATTATATTGTATTTATTAACTGTATATTATGTATATTTCATGTAAACTATATCATTTTTAAAATACAAACCAAAAATACGAGGAATAATTATGTTTCCCATGTATTCTCCAACATATTTATTAATCCGTATTATCTAACTAGCGTGACGTCATAAATCTCGCCTCGTGGCTGTTCTAATAGAGACGGCATTGGTCTAATATTTAGAAATGTCAAAAGCTGATGACATTTTACTTTTGTCAATTATGACATTTCGTGTTGATTTTTGCAAGAAGAGGAAGAATTGTCACTTGTTTTATTATTTTCCGTTTCTATTTCACGAAAGTAAAAAGAGTTACCTATCTGATTCGTTCAGGCTAGTTCAGGCACTCAATTTAAAGAATATCAGTAACTTTTTTGACAGAGGGATTTTATATTTGCCATGTTGGTAAAAAATAACGGTCAAAATTCAAAGTTATTCATTTTATAGACTATATTAATCCTTGATACTTATAACTCATTAGATAAAAAGCGGCGCACTGAAGACCGAGTCGAGCAGATCTTGTGTCAGCAAATTTAATTAGAGCATTGATGGCGACATCTATATATTTTAATACAATACCTAAGCTACAACTAGTTAGCTTATTTGCCGCAAGATGCCTCTCGCAAAACAAACTTTATTTTTCTGTTGAAAGAATTTGATATGGTCCTTGAACAACAAAAACATGGTTTTTCATAATTTTCGCATTTTGAAAGTATCATACACTCTTTACTACTGCTCCTAGCGAAAAACGAATAGGACCTTTTTTGTAAACAATTGAATTTACTTTCATTTTGTATAGAACATTTTTTTCGCTAGGATGCTTAGTTTTCGAGATAATAACGAAAAATGTATAAACCGGCCGTCATTGTTGCAACTGCGTTAATACGCCTGGCGGTGACCGCCTCATATTCTTTCAGATATTTAGCAATAAAATAAAGAAACCTGTTATTTTTAAGCTGTTATTTTAAGCTGTTTTTTATAAATAACTATAACAGTTTCAACTGTTATCTAAAAATAACAGTTTTGCCCATCACTAGTATTTTTTGGTGTTCGTTTCCTGGCATAATTGCCTTGTTTCTTTTTTAATTTTAGTACAAGTTTAATTGTTTTGAATATTTTGATTTTAAAATTGAATATGTTACGTCAATTTTCACTCAGCTACTATATTAATCGGCAGAGAGCCTGTATCGTCGGATTGACATAAGTCAGGATTGATTGACGTATTCAGTTGTTTTTGGTCACCTCCTGTTTTTTCGGAAATGTTCTAGTCATTTCCGGTTAAAAAGGAAGTGACCAAAAACAACTGAATACGTCAATAATCTATCCTGATTTTATGTCAAATACTCATACCAAATCCCGTTTTTTATCTGAAAAAATAAAAAATTATAGCGGTGAGCCATTTTTGAGAAACACCCGGTATACATTTCATAAGTCACAATTTTCTTTTATTTCCCCTGATAACAACCTCCAGACATTTACAAATCCTGTCCGGATATTTTAGTTTTTCGCGATTTGGCAACCCCAACCAAAACACA